TCACAAGTGGAATATTTACCTCCTTTCAAATTTGTTTGAGGTCAAATTTAAGGTTCGAGAGTTGTTGACATTCGAGTTCAGTTGGAAGAATTCAGTGTTAAATGACATTAATGAGTCTGTATACCGTGAAGGAATGACGAACGACAGAAATAGGGACGTGCAGAGGCCGAGCTCGATCATGGAGAAGCTCGACCTGGAAAGACAACTGGCCGAAAGATCGGCCAGCACGGAGGAGGTATGGGACAGGTCGAGGAGGACATCAACAATTCAAGTCATTGTCAGGTAGAACTCGGGTCCTCACTGACCCGATGAAAGGGCTTCGACCTGGAGGTAATACTAGTCAAAAGATCGACAAACAAGCAAAACATAGAAGGTCGTACGATCGTGTAACCTAATGAAAGACCCGGCCAAACTACCGCTGGATGGAGTAGTCGAGCTCAAGACTTGGCTTAAATCGGGAAAAATTCATGTGTCAAGGCTCGAGACGATCACACTAAGGCGACATAAATGCTTAAAATAATGAGAACTTGCGTACGCATCATTAAAAACGAGACAATCATGACAGAAGTTTGTCTGCCTACAGGAAAGCTTCATAGGTAATGTGCAACATTTAATGCTTGCCATTTCCATTTAATGCACAATTGTACAACTCGATGAATAATAATCGAGTCATCTTACTATAAATAGTCCTAGGAATCCATTGTAAAAAAGGTTCAGAAAAATTCAGGTAGCTAAGACAAATATTACCTCATTTAATACAACGTTAAACACCAGTGATCCAACCTTAAGAAAGAAAAATACCCGACCTCCATGTTATTCGCCTTTTCATAGATTCATTGTTAAACACCGAACTATAATAGTTTAACCACCTAATTATCGGCACTTAATCAGTGTTTTGGATTGATCAAATTTAATGATCAACAGGAGTAACTTAGTTAGATGGTTTACACGTCAGAGTCTCATAATTTATTATTTGGTATGGTAATAACTCTTATAATAAAAAACTGTAATTTTGAAAACATCCAAAATATCAATCTTCTGGGATAGAACCTCAAATTTTGATTTTAAGTTTAGTTATTTTTACATATCAGACAACTAATTATTCACTAAACACTCTGCATAATCAACTAATTCAAACGTGTTAAATCTTCTAATTCAAGTAGCTTTCAATTATCAACTAACTGAAGAAACTAATGTCGATCCGTTAAGTTCCAAACAAGACCATTAAAGTTATGTTTGGTAAACATAAGTTAATAGCTTATATGTAAATTACGAGCTTATAACAGATAGCTTATAGCTTGTAACTTATGGTTGAAAAGCTAGTTGATATTATAATAATGTTTAATTTAAATAATTAGTTGATAAATTAGTTGAAATAAAAATTTTAACAGGCTCATTTGACTATCCAAGAAAGTTTATAAGATAAACTCTAAGTTAACTAAATAAACTATTAGTTAGTTGTGCTTACAAAATACGCTCTATTTTTTTAAAAACCATCTTTTAGATCCAAAATGTTATCTTGAAAGTTATATTTGCTAATTAATTAAATTATATATTCTAGCAGATCAAACCTTTTATTTTAACGGGCTTATTTGACTACCCAATAAAGTTTACAAGATAAACTCGAGTTTTTTTAAAAAACTCGTTTCTATCAAACCAAGTTTATTTGAATACATAAAGCGTATAAGTTAACCAAATAAACTATGAGTTAAATGTGCTTACAAAATACACTCTAATTAAAAAAAAAAAAAAGAACAAATTATCTTTTAGATCCAAAATGTTATCTTGAAAGTTATATTTACTAAGGGTATGTTTAGTAAAATTAACTGATAAGTTAGCTGATAGTTGATAAGATAGTTTATAGCTTATCAGTAATTTTTTAGCTTATAACTTATAGATTATGACTTATAGCTGATAAGCTAGCTTATATGATAAAAGTGTTTGGTAAAATTAGCTGATAAACTAGCCGGAATAAAAAATTCAACTTGCTTAATTGAAAAGCTACCTAAGGAAGCTTATCAAATATACTCGAGCTTTTTAAAAAAGCTCGTTCTACCAAACGAGGCTTATTTGAATACAGTGAGCTTATAAACTAATCAAATAAGCTATAAGCTAGCTTATTGGTCTACCAAACATAGCCTAAATAATTACATTAAATATTCTAGCGGATCAAACCTTTAATTTGTCCCAAACCTTTAATTTAGCCTTATTTACCAAACAACCACCTATATATATCCCCCTTATATATAATTCCCAAATGCGCTGAGCCTACGTGGCTGCTTCTGGTGCTTCGGAATCCTACTTGGCAAATAATCATGCTTTGTAATTAGGTTTGGACAAATAATATTGATATATTAATAATTAATAATCTAGGTTATGACATTCCATAAATATTATTTAGTTAACTTAGGTATTTTAATATCACTTGTACTAATATAACCCTTTAATTCTTTGTAATTTTACATAGTGAGACACTAAGTGACTAATATACCCCTGACTTTTGATTTGTTTTCTTCAATTAGCTATTGAATTGTAATGTATTTTAAAAGTTGATAACTTTTGTATTTCTTATCGGTTTTACAAATATAATATATCAAATTAATCACATTTTGATGATGTTCGATTTGACATCAATATTGTATATATTAAATAAATAAATTATATTTATCTTTATAATAAAAAAATAATAATAATATTTATTAAAATTCATTAGAAAAATAAAATTATTTCTCAATTGATATAATTATGTTTAATGTAGATATATTTTGTAAGTTATAAAAAATTATTATAATATAATACAGGTAAGTCGCAAAAATAAAAAGTTTCATACTTAATATATAATAGTATATATATTTTTATAAAAAGGTTTTAAATTTTCAACTATTTTTTCTCATTAATTTTAAATTTTAAATAAAAAATTAAC